CAGCTACTACGTAACCAGCAAAGTGTTAATTGTATCGACGATTCGAGTGTATCGCGGGGAGGCGGCAGAGCCGGGAAGCGAGCACAATGAAGCACATATAAAGTCAATATATATATAGAGTAATCTATATATATATTTTTTCTTCTTCTTGTTCTTTTGTGTCATTTAATTACACCCGAGAATGTAACAAGAAATCATATTTTTCGAAGAAATATTTTAATGTTAATATTATTGAAAGACAAAGATGGGACGGAAATGCATGGACAAATTAACCGAGCAATTAGGATCCCTCCCCAATCGCTGATATCGAGACAGAGACACCGCAAAGTGCCCTGTCAAAGACCAATTCGAGGTCCATTATCACAATGGACAGGCTAAAAGTTCGATTGACACGCAGCCTATATATAAAGAATCAGGTGACGGGTATTCGATACGATGAAAGTTTTTATTTCAAACGACTGTCTCGCTACGTTAAATGTCTTTGAATGTCTTTTACCGACGAATAATGGCGATGTATTTATATTATGTTCTACGTTGAAAATCGAATATTACGCAAACTTCAATATTATTTATCGAAAATTTTAATCTCGGCTATTGAGAATAAACCATATTTTACCGAATTGTTTGCATACGCAGGTTTTAGCGATATTCGATATATAAAGATGATTGAAAATGTAATTGACCGAGGAAATCTATATTTGCATGGCTGAAATTTCTAGCTATGCACTTTATTCCAATATCTCTGATTTATTTCAGTCAAGAATTTATGTTTCGACCAGATAATATTTCTCGATAAAAGTAGCCCAAAAAAATTTGCTTTCTTTTTTCGTGTCAAAATTTATTCAGCGTAAGTTATTACGAATTTATTCGTTAAAGTCGAAGAAAGAAAAGTTCGACTGTGTAATTGATTTTATAATTATTCGTTTTTTCACAATAAATTGATAGCTACATTTCAGCTTCCTTACAGCCGACGTATTTCAATAAAATGTTATATATATATTGCAATATTCTTTTATTAATATCCATCGCAGAAGTGAAAAAATGACACGCTGACATTTATCGGGTGATCATATTTACAACAAAAATATGTGATGTCATTTCGAAAGCGCGGGATAGGATACGTGGGATGTCTCAATTTAGAATAATATAATCCTATTTGGTGTATTTTTAACATATAGAGAAAGAGAGAGAGAGAGGGAGAGAGAGAGAGAGAGAGAAAGAGCAATATTTAAATTAAGCTTATTCTACATTTCAATATGTACAAATCCGATGTAAAGAAAGAAATCACAGTTTTTTCTTTACTTCATTCAACCGTTGACATTTTCATGTCACGATAGATAATGAAAGCGTAAATGATATAAATGCAATTTAAAATTGTCGAAGGGTTATATATAAGACTCTAATATAACTTTTTATAATTTTATTTTTTACACGAAGTCACACGTACTGTTGAGTATCGTTGCGTTTATTGATGTCCTTTATGTATCGTATGTGAATTCTGTTTCTTACGTATGTTTCTTTGAAATTCTTGAATAAAACGTCGATCAATTTTAATGGGAATAACGAAATTTATCGGCACTGATAGCAATAATGAGAGAAAAACGCATGGTAGAGCAGATAAAGCTCTTAATATTGGGAGAAAGACAGGCATTAGTAGCTTATCCATCATCGTATCATACATGGTAATTTTCATTTATCAACGGTACTGACCGGTATAAACGTAGTAGAAGATTATTCCGTGCAGAAGAGATACCCGCACGAGTGTACGATGAACGGACAACTTGCTTCCGGTCAATCTATTACTGCCGTCCTATATATTGCGCATCGGTACCTTCAGTAATTTGAAAGAACATCGTCTAATCGATTACGATATCCAACTTTCTCACAAGCATAGTTATCGAAAAAAAAAGTTTACAAAAATTACTCGCAAGAACTTATAAAAGCATCCAGTATTTTATTCATTTAATTCAAATAAAGGAGAGTGTGTAATCTTGTAATTCCTTAATGCTTTTTCTGTAACTTTTTTTTTTTACAAAAGTATTAAATTCCTTTTCTGACACGCGAATTAACAAATAAATGAAAAATTTAATAAATTTTCGTGGAATATTTTCGCCGGGTAAAAAACAGATTCTGATTAAATTACGCAGTTATTCGTTAATAAAGCTCTTAATAAAAAAAAAAAACAAACTGATATTTTAACAAAATTATTGCATCGCGTGCCGTAACAAATTATCTACAGCCCACATACAAATATTTCAAATGCAATTTCTGATTATTTTTTTATTATAGATTTAATTTCGCAGAAACAAAGTGTCCTCGCAAACAGATTCTGATTAAATTACGCAGTTATTCGTTAATAAAGCTCTTAATAAAAAAAAAAAAACAAACTGATATTTTAACAAAATTATTGCATCGCGTGCCGTAACAAATTATCTACAGCCCACATACAAATATTTCAAATGCAATTTCTGATTATTTTTTTATTATAGATTTAATTTCGCAGAAACAAAGTGTCCTCGCAATTCGATTTATCTACTTTGATTTGCAGGGATTTATTTTCCGTTGGTAAGACATAATTTTCCTTCCAATCTCGAAAAAGAACATGACAGAGATCTTTCGTGATCGTGATACAATCATCGACGCGATTTCCTCGATCGAATACAATTCCGATATCGCGGGGCATCGGAGCGATTTTAAAGGACGACTCGCCGAGCGATATTTACGCGTCTCCGATGGGTGCTCCTACACGATCAGTTATTTATAAAGCCATTCACGATAATCAATAACCTATGCCTCTTTCCTGTGCGGCGAAAATTCACTAACGTACCAGCGCACGTCCAGCATCTCCATCGTCATGGAGCGCGCTCCGTCATTGTAATGGACCTAAAAACCGCCGCAATCGAATTATGACATATAGGGACTAGGGACGGATATCCCGAACGCGCGTGAATAATTTCTGCACGAGAGTAGAGATATTTAATTGAATATATACGCGCGCGTGTTCGTACATATGTATACCACCTACGCGAGTATTTGTAAACAATTGTAAATAACTGTTGCTTGCGGTGAGAAAAAAAATGGCGGGGCTTTAACAAGTATTTCGCAAAAAGGTGTTAACGAAATAAAGAAGATCCCTTATGCAACATAAAGAAAAGATTTGTTCTTGCAAATAAATGCAACAAAGTCGAAATCGATTTAAATTTTGAATTGCCCTTTATAGATTATTATTATTATTTTTTTTTTTTAGTTGATTGTTGTAATCAATAATTTAGATGGGTAAATTATGGATTGTATATGAAGTATATTATGTGTGGATTACAAATAAAATTCTGCGTAAAAATGTCAAAAGTTAAACCCTGCAAATTCATTAGATACTGTTACACTATATAGATACACTATAAATTTCACATATACATATATTTGAAATCTTCTCTGATTTATTTAAACCATAATTTTCTTTGGAAATTCAAAACGATTTTCAATTGCTATCCGCTTACAGGATTAAAATATGTGACATTTAAATGATAACGTATGTTACAATAATAAGGAGAGCTACTTTATATAAATTATTTAAATATCAAAAAAAAAATATTTATTAATTTATTAATATTTATTAATTATATTAATTTTATAACAAAATATATCTGAAACAATCGATTAATATGAATAAATTGCAACAACGTTTCCAATAATCGTGAAATAAATCTACAATAGTATTTTTTTGCGGTAAGTGCGGTGACAATTTTTTTGTGTTAAAAGCTATTCGTAATTCGAAATAGCACATTTCCTCTCTCGATTTCTCTCGTAAAAATATTAAAAAATATTTTAGTGGCACCCTGCGACCGATAAAAGATACCGTGGACCAGAGTGCCTGGCCAAAGATACGCTCTAACCACTTCTCTGCCGAAGAACATCTTACATTAGCGCGATAACCATCGCGTAAAAGCTCTCACGAGACGCGTAATGTTTCTCGCATCCCCCTCGAGTGTATCCTCGAAACACGCGTACTCCCCTAACATTTGCCGAATCACATGAATACGGACGAATTCGCGATGAAACATTCGATTCGATCGTGGATCCGAGAAGAGTTTGTTTTCCGCCGGCAAACAGTAAATCATCTCACGTTTGATGAAAAAGAATCCAAAAGAAACCAACAGAAGGATGTTTATAATAAATCTAGAAGAAATACTTCCGGGAATACTTGAATTAAATTGCAGATTTCATGAATATTATTGCGAGGAGCTTGAAGATGAAAGAAAATTGAAGTCGACGCAGATTCTCGATCGTGTTCTCCGGAGAGGATAACGTCAAGCAATCATTCTCTTTTCTTGTAGCAACGAGCAAAGATCTATTAATTTATAAAGTCGCGGATATGGACTACCGACGACGAGATCGCAGCATCCCCCGGGGAAATAATGGGGCAAATTACAAAGGAATGAGGACCCATTTTCCCTCGTTACCTACCTATACCCCGGACAGCTTCTCGCGTATAACAAGCAAGAGATCGGGCGGAAATTCGCAGCGAAACTCGCGGGAATACGCTTTCTATTTCGCGACGCAAACGGTTCCTCGATCGATCACGAAGAATATCGAGGATCCTAGAAGAGATTTCGCCGAGAGACGCGTCGGCCGCGTGAGACACCCCGGAACTTTCGTAGAGCACGCATCATGTAGGAAGAAGGATGTTCGCTCTCGTGTTTGGTACAATCACCGTGCGCGATTCTCCGTCCGTGACAACGGACGTAGATTGACGCAACGAAATGAGGACCGAGGACCTTGTCGGGAGAACCAAGCGTCAAACTCTTGCTTCGCGTATATACTCTCGTAATAGTAATACAATGCACCCCGACGCAATTGCGTCCCGAATCCGCGCACGAGACCTCCGCGCTCGTGGTCTCTCCCCGCGAGAGCGAGTCTCACGCGAGAAGCCTCCTTACTCGGAGGCTGGACGCCTCCGCTCGCTAAAGAGAATATAGATAATCCCTTTCTCTCTCGCGTACCTGAGATCGGTCGATCGGTGGCGCAGGGCGCGGCGGCATGATCCCGTCGCAGCGCGGCGCCGTTCGACGAGCACTGAGCAGCTATTCTGCGCCACCCAGTTGCGTCGACGTCGAGAAGAGACGCGCGTGCTCTATATATCTCGCTCTCTCTCTCTCTCTCTTTCTCTCCCTTTCTCAGTCTCTCCGCCACCCTTTCGTCTCACCCGCGCCGCGCGGCTGACGTCGCGCTTTCTTTCTCTCGTCCGCTGTCCGCAGCCTCCCTTGGTCCCTTACTCCCTTCCGCCGATGCTCTCCCACGCTTCCCCGCGACAACGACTACTGACGATGCCGCCACCCGTTGCCCGATGCCTGCTCCTCGTTTGAGCACCTCGTCGCTCTGCGCAAGCCTCCGTCGAACACCCCGCGAAGCTCTCTCTCTCTCTCTCTCTCTCTCTTGCTCTCCGGGGGTTGAGAGAGAGGGAGATCCGGCGGAAAGGGCAAAAACGAGATAGTTAAAGAGACCAGCGCACGTCGAAGAGGATGCTGCGCTCGCGAAAGGGAGGGATGAAAGAAAGGGGTGGCGTTTTGTAAAATACGCCGCGCGCGCCACCGCTGCTTGACACCTGTCTCTCTCTCTCTCTCTCTCTCTCTCTCTTTCTCTTTCTCTCTTTCTCCCTTTCTTTTGTATTCCGCCGCGCGATATCATTCCGCTGCCGGTGCAGAGACTTTCTTGTCGGATGTCATTAACCTCATGCCTGGTCGTCCGATCGTTTTTTTCTCCCCTCGATGGCTCGCTTTTTGTTCGTCGATGTGTTGCGCCGCGGCTTAAACAGCGGTCGCGAACATCGATATCATTCGGTAACGTTACTCGGAAATCGCGCGCGATGCCATTCTTCATGTTGAAGCTGCGCCCGGGCTTTATTCTTATCTAGGCCTTAATTACTCGGCAGGCAGACACTGCGGGTGCCTAAATAAAGATGCATTATCTTTATTGCGGAATCTGTAAATGATGCATAGGTCGTGCTAGAAGTAAGATTAATTTATACGAAGCTTCTGGCCACTTTAAAGTAGATTTATCATATAAATGAATGTATAATTAGACGCTCTCTTCTTTCTTTCGCGACTTTTTAATAGTCAACATTGAGATTAAATATTCCCCTGTGCAGCTAATATTTAACTTAAAACACCGTGTTGAAATAAAACCTGTTTCAAATTAGCCTATATTGTAATGCCAGTACCATTTGCACTACGCTAATATTTTTAATTTAATTTTAATCGCTATAAACGATATAAGATCTATTTTGTGCCATCAAGAACTTTCTTCTGATTACTGTATTTATATTTAAGAACGATTCATATCGCTATATCAAATACCCTATAAAATACAGGCTTTTTATCTCAGGAAATTTGTATCTTCTTAAAGAATTTTTTCAGTACAAAGAGGATGATACAGTATCACAAAATCGTATAAAATTTCAAAACAGGATATAAAATTATCTTATGCCTTTATATCCTTTATATCTTGTATCTTTGGCCAATATATATGGCATGCGTTACGCTGACAATCTTCATTATCTAACAGACGTCGTCTAATATAGACAAATCGATACGACCAAGTAAACTATCGAAGGTATTCAAATGCTGCAATATCAATTGAGACAGATCGCTGACAATAACGAATAGATAGTTCCGCGCACACAATACGTTTGATATGTATGTATAATGAGAAGGATGCTCTATACACAACTATATATTAGCATGCAAGATATATTGCCATGTCATATGATTTATAATCTATCATAAATTCGTTGAAAGCTACGATATATATGTACACAATGCGCGACTTGTATTACATACATGTACCACGCTTCTTTTCTGAATAAGAAAAATGTGCATGCATATTTGTATTATACCAAGAATTCTATTTTTGTGGTCGACAAAAATGTTACCGCCATTTATCTTAAAATCATCGTTTAATTTATTCACTGCAAAGAGAGAAAATCTGATTAAGAGTATTTCGTCTTTATCAATATTCTCTGATATTCTATATAATACCGATAAGCTGTTAGGTCAGACAATATTCTCGCAAAATGCAAGTTTGTTCATTGGCCATTAGCGTGAGTTAATAAATAAATATAAGCTAACGGAGATTTGCATGGAAAATTTATTCGAGAATTATGTTACGTTTACAGAAGAACGTGGTTGAAGGGATTTTATCGGGCAGTGTTGTTGAAGTACCACCATTGTATATTTTATCTATGAACTTTCAGTGTGTGTAAGCTGCTTGTGACAAAGACGATCCGAAAGAGGATTATTTATAAATTAAGCGTAGAAACAGAAAATGGAATAGCTTTTTCAATTATTTGCTTGTCAGCCAGTTTTTTGACAGGTCCCTTTATTACCAGACCGATTTCTTTGATAAAGGATTTTTACTCCCTGCGTTCAGAATGAATTTGAACTTCTCTGTCTACTTTACAAATATTGATTCGCTAATTAAATGATATCTAGTTAGATAATATCGAAACACTCTAACTAGTGTGATGTTATCAATATTTTTGATAAAATAATCAAGAATTAAAAGAGAAAATATATATAAAAAATTATTCAAAAAAAAAGAATAATATTTTTATTTCATATATTTGAAAATTTTCTATTATTTATACATATAAAAATTTATAAATTTTTATTCGCTATGGTTTGTACTTTATCATTTGTATTTATTATAGAGTGTACCGTATTATAAGTTTACATGCGGAAGATAAGCTCTAAATATATCGAAGAGAAAATGTATTCTTATCTGGAAACTATCAAAGTTTTTCATCTTCCATTTTTTACCGCTGTCTAATGATTTTCCCGTGAGAAAAATTCTTTTTCCGTATATTGTTTCACGAGTATCATAAATGAGCGAAATTTTTTGCAGTCGAGAGAATGTAATACTGTCAAAATAATCACTTTGTGAAGAAGAACAAAGTTTCATCTGCATCTCGTCGATCTGGAGAGTATGAAAGGTAAACAAATTTTGTATAAATCATAATATTTATTTAAAGTTCATTTATATATATATATATATATACGATATATATATACGATCTATCACGTTATGCATGATGTAATAACACGCGGTCGTTTATGAATCCTGATAAGAGTTAGAAAAGGCGAATAGCGGACTATCTCTCTTATGATATACGTATTTCAAGCGCGATAAATCTTTCCGTATCTTGATTTAAATCGCTTTGGATTCCCCGTGATGATTAGCAATACTCTTTTAATTGACGTCATTTAGCACTGCATACAGAAACGATCACATAATGTATAACACATTTTGATCGTACGTTACACATACGTAAATATCGCCTTGTCGAGCAATGATCGATCGGTTATCGGATATGAATCGACTCGCTTACGTCGCGACGCAAACGTTAAAAAAGAATGGGTACGTTATCAGCTGTGTTGTTTGTTCGATTCGCAATTTTTGAAGTCAAAGTTCGCCGAGTATCCGAGCTCAAAGGCGATTTTCGTGCGTGTAAACTTGTACGGACTTTGCTGACTTGTGCGTAGCCTTGAAGATCGCAACCGGGAAATGTCTCGGAAACGGTATATAATATAAGATCGAACGTATACGCGATGTCACTTGACTACGTCAATGCATGATCTCCGCGGAAGAGATTTCTCCCTCTGGTCTTCTCCCGGCTTGCTCCGCTTCATCGCTCCGTTTACTCGTCGGAGTCTCTAATCTAACCACGATAACGATGTCTTTCGAAGTGATTTTACGTAGAAAACAGCAGTAGTGTGTCGTTGACCATCGCTACGGCCGCTCTGTCTCGGTGACAAAGTACGAGATCAATCGCGTCCTCCCGTCTCGTGATTTATTTCTTTTGTCTTTATCGCCCTCTCTATTTCGATTCAATCAGAAGAATCGCCAATTCAATCACACTACTCGACGTTGCAATCAACATTTTTCTCCCGATTGCTGGTGATTCGTGATATCTATCTTCCGCGTGTATTGCTCCGCGACAAATACGCATTCCTCCCCGTGTGTGATCTATTAAGAGCCGACGTCTCTCGGGATAATCGAGAGTCGCAAGAAGTATTCGATGAGCGTCATCGAGTAAGCGTGATATCGGACGCAAGCGACGAGGATCTTCCGGCAACTGGCAAACGGCCAATTATCCTGCTCCTTGCAGAAGATACTGGAGACCGCACCATGTACTCGATCCTGCTATTAGCAAGATCCGCCCGACACGGGCATTTATCACGGAGATTGTCCTCGTCATTTGTGAGACTGCCGCAGCTAACAGTACGTAGAGAGTATTATACATTTGTATTTGTGACTCTACACTTATATGCATTGTCGTACTTATTTGTTGTCGAAGAGAGTACATCGATAACATTGTCAGGGGAATGCGCGATCAGCCATAAATCCGGGAAATTGTGATAACGTCATTTTACATGAAATATACACGGAGACATTAGTTAACAAACTTCTTTATAGATCGAGTATTAAAGTTTGTCAATTATTATCTGAAATATCCGTCATCTTTTTAAGCCCATAAAGTATACGACACAATTTCGAGATAATGTTAAGGAGAATATAACACGAGTCGACGTCTAATTCCATTGTTATTGTACTAACGATACAAATATGCAACAGACAATTACCTGTTGACGAAACTTCGTGGTATCAAATAGTTTGCGCATTCGGCGAACGCGTATACAAAGCTTCAAGCTACCTTAAAAGATAAATAATTCATAGAATATACATATGATTTATGTACAATTGATTTTTAAAAAATACATTGTATCGGGTATCGATATGTCATGCAAGTGTATTCGAGTTAGACCGCTGATAATGCGATACGTGATGCACCGCAGCGATGACTATTAGTATTGAGTAATTAAGTATTGATATATCGAAATTAGATATTCAAATTGGATGATATTTACTGCTATAAAATATACATATCATTGGAAAGAAATTACGATTGAATGTAAATGATGTAGGCAAAGAAAGACTAGAGAAACACAACATAAAAATTTATTCGACAAAATATATTTGTTAAAAGTATTCATTAGATATCGCATCTCGATCATAATTTGTCTATAATACATAATAACAATGTTTCACGCAAAACTGAATACAGGGAGAATATCGATTACAAAAAAAATTTTTTTGTTTAGAAAAAATCTAAATAATGTGTGCAAAATCGACGATAATAATAATTAATTAGAGGCATATCTCTTTTCCCGATTGAAAATGTAACAGAAAGAAAGATTGTTTTATAATTAATAGACATATAAACTCTATATAAATATTCAAAAATTTTTTTAAATAAAGATAATAATTATGAAATTTATTTGATAAAAAAAATGCATAAAAAGAAATGTATAATTATTTCTTTCGATTCATTATAGACACGCAATTGTTCCTTTGTATTATTGCTGTGATAAAAATATTTTTCTGACCATTAATGTGTGATATGATTATGGAACTGTGTGAAAACTTTTGCGAAAGTTTGTTTGTGTGCTCACCGATTTCCGTAAATGGAATTGCGTATCGGCAAATGCATATGTGGAAAAATGCACTCTGCCGAGCTCTCTACTGATAAATAAAAATACATCACATTTTTCTTTCTCTCTCTCTTTCTCTCAGTAGAAAGATAAGAGGGTTACGATATGATTTACAACGCGCAATTAGTAATCGCATAACGGAACATCCCTGCTAAACGATTGCGAAAGCCGAAGTTGGTGTCACGAGTAATCCGAAATTGTGTTTGTTGCAGAGATGACGTTTTGTCTGAACACGAAAAATACATGATAAATACTTATCAAACTATTGTCGCGTTATCAACTATATTCGTGAGTGGCGAGAAAATAAATTATACGAACGGCGACACTGATAGATCATAAAGATCGATAAATATTTCTGATACGAACATTATCACTCGTTAATACACGATAACTTTATTAAAATAATTTAATAATGTGTAAAATTACTTTGTTGCTCACGCGCACAATCATACAATATAAGAGAGAGATACTGAAATAAATGTCAATACAGTGATCCACTTAAATCGGGTATCTTAAATACTCACTTGTTTTTGATGATATGAAAAAATGTCTAAGGAAAAAGGTGCACCATTCGAGGGGACAGAAAAAGTGTTTTTTTTTAAAGACATTTTTTCAGAGATTTAAAGGTCAAGATGATTTTTTTATATGGAACTATATGTTTTTGTTTATTTTATAGGCAACATCGAGAGGAGTTCAGCAACCTATGATAACATGACCTTTAAGTGATCTTGAAAATTATGATGATTTATGATGGAAAATTACGTATGTTTGAAGAAAACAAAAACAAAAATTTATACTCTTCAACACAAAAATTTATTTAAAGAGGTGTTAATGATGTTCTCAATATATTTTGATGACTTTAATACATTTTTAAATATGATATATTGGATGATTGCATAAGTTCGTGCCCGATTTTCATAGATGGCATTAAGTTACTGCATGGCGGAGTTCTATTGTTTTCGTGTGGTAATTGTTGCTTACACCGAATAGATGACATTGTCTTATGTCAATTTAGCGTCAGACATTATTCAGATAAGTCCATTTGTGCATAAGAGAAATCATTAAAAATGGAAAACGAAAAGGTGCATTTGCGGCATGTAATGTTATATGAATTTCGGAAAGGCGTGAGTGTTGGGATTGCACAAAAAAAATATTCAAACCGTTTATTTAGACCGCGCTCCTGCTCTCCGAACAGTCAAAAAGTGGTTTGGCAGATTTCGAAATGGTAATTTCAACATGGAGGATCAACCCCGCTCTGGACGGCCTTCTGGCATTGATGATGACATTGTGCATGCCTTAGTGGAAAGAAACCCAAGGATTACAACTGAGGATATTGCTGAGAGGCTGAACATCGATAATTCAACCGCTTTTCGTCATTTAAAAAAGCTTGGATACGTTTCCAAGCTTGATACATGGGTGCCGCATCTCCTGACTGAAAGGAATAAGCTAAACCGTATGACTGTGGCTCTTTCTCTTCTCGAGCGTAACAAAAAAGAGCCTTTTTTAGATCGAATGGTAACAGGCGATGAAAAGTGGATTCTCTACAAAAACGTACAGCGAAAGAGGACATGGAAAACAGCAGCTGAAGGAGCAGAACCCGTAAGCAAAGGCTGGCTTGCATCCGATGAAGGTGTTGCTGTGTGTTTGGTGGGATCGCAAGGGAATTATTTACTTTGAGCTGCTCCGACGCGGCGAAACAATCACGGCGGACAAGTACTGTGAGCAACTAACTAGACTCGCTGCAGCTATTCGAGAAAAACGTCCGATTTTGGCCAATCGAAAAGGCGTCATCTTCCACCACGACAATGCTAGGCTACACGTCGCTCAACAGACGCTGCGAAAATTGCAGGAGTTGCAATGGGAAATTCTGCAGCACCTGCCATATTCTCCAGATATTGCGCCTTCAGATTTTTATCTGTTCCGGTCTTTGCAGAATAGTTTAAATGGCAAGAATCTCAATTCCGAGGAAGCTGTTGAAAACCACCTTACAAACTTTTTTCAAGAAAAACCAAGTTTTTTCTTCAAAAATGGAATCGACAAGCTTATAGATCGTTGGAAAACCATTGTAGAAAAGAATGGAGACTATATAATTGATTAATAAAAGTGTTATCTCTAAAATATAATCTATTGAAGTTTATATTTAAATCGGGCACGAACTTATGCAATCACTTGATATAAATGATACTCTTGCCCCTCCTATCATTTCTGAATTTATACTTGCACAAGCATCCAAAATGCGCTCTCATGTTCTCCCGTATTGATACATCGTTGTAAACAATGTTTTTTAACATTCCCCAAAAAAGATCTAGAGGAGAAATAGTAGATATACTATATTTATAAATACAATATATGTTATGGAATTTAAGGTGGAATGTTCTACATTCTACATACAAAATTTTCCATGTTCAAGATCATTTAAAGGCCATAGGTTGCTGAACTTATATCGATATTGGCTATAAAATCGCAAACAAAAACAAATATAATTCTATTTAAAAAATTTATTTTGGCCTTCAATATCTGAAAAAATGATCTTGAAAAAAAATCTTTTTCTGTCACCATAATTGTTTCCTTGAACAATCCAACCTTTTCCTTAGACATTTTTTCGTATCATCAAAAACAAGTGAAATATTTAAGATGCTCGATTTAAGTGAACCACCTTGTATATATTTTAATTAAGTCCTATCGTAAAAACTTTTGGATAACATCCAATAAATCTATCAAATATATCATTTGTTTCTTAAAGAGACACAATTCTCCGATAAGCTTCAACATTCAATTAGTTCTTGAATTAATTAATTTAAACTCATAATATTATAAAATATATATAAAGTGTCCAAGATAAAATTTATTTTACATTGTGTATACTGCATCTGTAAATGTTCTATTTGACACAGACAATGAATTAGTAACATCGTGAAGTACAAAGATAAGACACGATAACTCTACGCTTAAATAGCAGGTGGGAAAAATAAAATACTACACGTCATTTATCTCGCTTGATATAAAACGATTGAAAAAGAAAGACCAGTTGGCTCACAAAGAAGCAATATAATTTTTAATATTCTCTTGCAGAGTAACTCAGAATTCTGTTAAAGATTTATGGTATATATAAATATATTGAAATAAACGATCCACTTGTATAAACATGAGAAAGAGCAGATTGCTCCTCTCTCCATCTCGCTCCAATACAAATATTAAATTCTACCAGCGTCTTCGTGTACAGTTAAATTCATAACTTCTTGCAAAGATTCAGAAACTTTGCTTCAGTATTGTCCAGACCCCTTTGCTGCATAAATATTAAATACAATAATATATTTATTTAATAAATATTTGTCGGATATATTTTAATGACAGATCTGTTGTAAAATGTGAAAGATAACTCGTTCAAAGCTTTACTTCATTCTTTTATAACCATTTTTCTCGTTTTTTACGATTTTATCTCTGACTTGTAAACAATTTTTCAAGATGGTTAAAGATGCGTCTCAAGGGTACGCGCGAAGAGAGCTGCAAACCTCGGAGAGACCACGCAGGCAGCAGACCTTTACGGAGCGCTCCGAATTACAGTATGCCCGTCGACTAGTAATCAAACTCGGCAGCGCTGTTATAACGAGGGAGGACGAACACGGCCTGGCTCTCGGACGTCTCGCATCCATCGTGGAGCAGGTAGCCGAGTGCCAGATCGACGGACGCGAATGCATCATGGTGACCAGCGGTGCGGTTGCCTTTGGCAAGCAGAAGCTCACTCAGGAGCTTTTAATGTCTATGTCGATGAGAGAGACCCTGAGCCCTACGGATCACACACGGGAACACGCAGGTATATCTTCCTTGTTTCTATCTCATCCTTTTATCGAGATTTTATTTACATTAATCGATATCTTTATTCCCTGCCAGTAGAACTTGATAAGATATAATTACTCTTTTGCATATAAGCTTATATAT